TTAACAACTGGTTACTTGGGAAGCCTTACAACTTTCAGTGGTTGGAACCAGAAAATGCTTGAACTCAGTGTTGAAAGACATTGGGTTTTTGCTCTGCTTGGCTTTTTGATAGGTAAGATGTCACGTTCTAAAGAATTGATGCAGTAGACATGTAGTTCACTTTGGCATGCAGTAGACATGTAGTTCGCTTTGATAGGTAAGATGTCATGTTCTATTCGAAACTTATCCATGGGTAAATCACAAACCCAATGTACCTCAAATCGCTGGACTAATATGAGATTCTCTTTTATGCGACGGATGTCAGGTTTGTTTCTTGCGGCCTACTCCATCATTTTTGGGGTAGAGACAGCAAAGGGTTTTAGGCAAATTCTTGAGAGGAACTCAGTCTGTGGTATTACCAGCTCTAGAAGGAGGTGGAGGGTTGACAGTTTCAAGCGTCACTTGGTAGCTTTAGCAGTGTTGTTGCTGATGCTAAGTTCTTTGTGGAGTATAAGTGGAATACTGTTGAGAGAGGAATTTAACAGTAGCAGCAGTGAGGCGTAACTATGGTTGGGTTGCATAGTTGGACCTTTTGGTGTGTAGATCCGGTGGTTCTTAGCCCGGCTTAATAGACGTGGATTAGGAAAGACGGGTTTGTTGAAATGGGTTCCATTTGGTTCTTTAATTGCCAATGTTTCTGCAACTTGTGTAGTGGCAGCCCTGTCTACTGTGAAGAAAGCAGTAAGCTCTTATGATATGATCTCTGTCCACATTCCATGACTTCATCCTCTCCATGACTTTATCCTCACCATTACCTTTCGTGTGTTATTGTCTCGTGTCCGACAATCTTACAGTTCACATATATTTGTCATATTATAACTGCTAAATTTGTTATTTTAGGTTTTTCTGTTCTCGTCGAGGTTTTAAAAGCTTCTTGGGGAATTCTTGAACTGTACTATTTTCTATTGCAATGTTTTTCCAACTGCATTACCTTTGTCATACATTGTCTTGATCCATGCCCACTGTTTTTTCCTTTTTAATAGAAAATCTGACATGCAGAACAATTTATTTGTGCATGTGAATACTAAGACTTGAGACATTGTTGCAACAGGCATACAATTTGGATTTCTGGGTTGCCTGAGTACTGTTTCTGCCTTCATTGCTGAGTTCAATGCGATGAGAGAAAGCAAATACCCTTGGAGAGCATACGCATATGCCATGGCTACGATATGCACCTCATTTGGTTTGGGAATCCTGATATATTGTGTACCTGTTTGGACAAGGGCATACAAGTAGTAGCATGCTCATACCATTGTTTTGATGTTTATTTTGTGGTTATGCCTCGGGGATCATGTTCCCTGAGGAGGAAGAAGAAGCCATGATTGCCAAGGTTTTGAAAGAGTCTTCTACTTTCACCAAGCAGAAGTGTTCCAGCAATAATAGGGTTTGCTCAAAATCAAACATGTATTTTGTGAAAGCAAGGTCTGCCTATGTATAGTGAAAAGACTCCCACTAATCCGGCCTTTAACTGATTAGTGGGGATTTGCCAAATCATAGGATAATATTAGAGTTCTAATTGATATTGATATCTTGTCTAACCAAATAAGGCCTCTTGATTAGTTGCACAAAATAAGGACTCCAAATCTTAATTTAAACAAGATTCCATAATTTCCTCAACACCAACTAACTTGTTAACCAAGTTAATTGATTAACAAGAAATAAATAAATCATATTTATTGACACTCACATGCTTACATGGCATCCTTTTTTATACTTAACTCTAGCCAATGAAATTCATCATACCAATCGGAATTAAAGAGTTGAGGAACTCTAGAAAAAAAAAAAAAAAGGTCTTTGTGGAAAGGCTTTAGTATAGGCCGACAATACTCTTTTTGTAGATAATCTCTTCGGACTTGATCTCGAATATTAGCCAGATTGTCCATAGCAGTATTAGCACATTGTTTCCTATAATATCGTAACATAACTGTATAATTTGAAGTCTATACCAATTTTGTTACGGATTACTCAAATTTGATAAAGTCATACAAACCAATCACAACACAAAACTTAACTCATTCAATAGTCCAAATAAAATCTTTCATCACTTTATCAACACAAACACTAAAACACACATATCAATCCATCTAAATAAAAACCATACGTTATGATCCACATCAATCATCAAATCTAATTATTCACAAAGAAACATTTTTCTAACCAATTCATTAAAAAAATTAGAAATTAATTTGAATAAGTTATGAAGAACTTACTTTAGAATTTGAAGGATGAAATTTAGGTGGTCATCAAAATGATCGTCGGACTGGAGTGGTAGGAGTTTGGCTATTAGGGATTGAGCTTGGTAGAATTGGGATTTGACAATTTGAACTGGAATTGGGTTTCTTAATTCTTGAGGTTTGATGCATATCTGTTTTTTTTCTTTTTGTTATAAGCCAATGCTGGTATTTTCCTTGGTAAAAGATGCCTTATATATATTTTTTTAATTTTTTCTATAAAGTAACCTTGCCCAAAACAATGTTGTTGTGGCCAAGTATACTAAAAAGATAATAAGAGTGGAAAGGTGCGGCAAAAACATAGGTGCTACGCACATAACATCCATGTGCATTGTTGGCAAATCCAAGCCTGCCCTGCTGCCCAACGACCCAAGCTTCTATTTGAGGCATTTTATCAAGCAATTGGAAGGCAATGGAAGATCAACTCTAACCTTTAAAGCGACATCACCCAAGTCATTCATGGAGATTCACCCTTTTGCCCCTGAATGGGTCCGCCCATATTTAGATTGACTTAAATCGAAAATAATATAGTCAGTTGATATCTGATCTATCCAAAACCGAACTTATTCCTTAAGTGAAAGTATGTGCAAAAGAAATACTTATTCTCTATCTCGCTCTCAAACTCTAGAAGAAACCCTAAACTTTACCATCTCTCCAGCCGCAGGCCTCTAGCTTCTGCTTAGGACTGGTGGCAGGCACCTTTTCAACCTTTCTTATCCTCTTCCTCATTCCTGTTTCTCTCATCCTCTTACTTCCCTACACCTGCGATGGCCCTAATTCCCGTCAAGGAACAGTAGAGCAACCCATTTTCCACGAGTGTTGTGGATGAAGCTCTGTCTTTAGTCGTTTTGTCCTTCAGTGCAACTGTGATGGCCCTGATTTCCATCATGGAATGGTGGAGCAACCCACCATCTACGGTTGGTGCGAATGGAGATTTGCCTATGGGTTTTTTTCCCCATATTTCAAGTATCATAACTGTGATTTGGGGCTTTACACTCGAACTCTTCTAAAACTTCGAATCAGCCCTCCAACCCCTCACACTCATCCACTCCAGATTATGTTATACTTAATGAAAGTATAAATAAACTCTTAAGTGTTAGTGAATCTATCGTTTTGATGGGATACGTATTCTACGAAACTAATTTCAATAATCTAACCATCAAACTTGTTTGTATATGCATCGAGATTGCATACGCTAAAAATTGCAAAAAAAAACAAATATTTAGAGATCAAGTAACAAAATAAAACTTTTTGACGGTTATCAACGAAAAATCACGATTTAACGGTTATTTTAACTCCGATTTTGATGATTTTTTACAGCTACACTCCTTGACCCTATATGAATACAATGAATGAACTTGATCTTCAATTTAAAATATTTGTACTAGTGGATACCACAAAATTTTATGTTATACTTAATGAAAGTGTGAATAAACTCTTAAGTGTTAGTGAATCTATTGTTTTGATGAGATACGCATTCTACGAAACTAGTTTCAACGATCCAAACCGTCAAACATGTTTGTATATACTTTGAGATTGCATATGCCAAAAATAGAAAAAAACAAACATTTAGAAATCAAGTAACGAGACAACTTTTCGACGGTTATCAACAAAAAATCATGATTTAACGGTTATTTTAACTGCGATTTTGATGATTTTTTACAGTTTCACTCCTTGACTCTATATGAATACAATGAATGAATTCGATCTTCAATTTAAAATATTTACACTAGTGGATACCACAAAATCTTATGTTATACTTAATGAAAGTATAAATAAACTCTAAGTGTTAGTGAATCTATCGTTACGATGGGATACGCATTCTACGAAACTAATTTCAACGATCCAACTGTTAAACTTGTTTGTATATACTTCGAGATCGCATACGCCAAAAATTGCAAAAAAACAAACATTTAGAGATCAAGTAACGGGACAAAACTTTTAGACGGTTATCAACAAAAAATCATGATTTAACGGTTATTTTAACTGTGATTTTGATGATTTTTTACAGCTACACTCCTTGACCTTATATAAATATAATGAATGAATTCGATCTTCAATTTAAAATATTTACATTAGTGGATACCACAAAATCTTATGTCATGATGATCAATAAAAATTGAGGATTTTGTAAAAAGAATAACATGCAAGCTTTGAGTTTCATTGGCAAGGTTTAAACTTTTGAGAAAAGCTTCACAACCTTGAAAACAAAAACTCTTTCATTTTGCATATCCTTGCACATTTAATATTTTGTAATAGACTAGTAGTGCATGAATGTTTGTTTATTAGGCTCTTATTTTCGAGTGCAGATGTAGTACTTAAACTACAAATGTGTTTTAATGTTTTGAAGTAATATTTATGTGGCAATGTGTGGTATATGCAAATTTAAGGAAATTTTTTTTTCTTAACGGGTCATAAAGTGATTCGACCTGTTAAGGACCCGTTAAGATAACGGGTGTGACACAACACAACCCGTTAAGATAACAGGTATTACACGAACACAACAGACACGACCCGTTTGCTAGGTCTTGATATTAGGGTTTAATTGTAGTATGTGGGTCTATTGATAGATTTGATTTTTATTATTAATTTCATTTTATACTTAATAATAATTATGCAATAGGATAAAATGGGCAATTAACATTTAAAATTTAAGTTGGATATAAAAAAAGGTGGGTTTAAATAAAAATTCCCAAATTAAAACTCATTTATCTCCCGCCAAGCAAACGAACCAGAAAAAAAAATGAGAGAGAACCAAACACCGCTCAAGGACCAATCCCGACCTGCAAAGCTCGTGACTCCCGTTCCCAAGAAGAAGGTACGATTTCGAAACCTTCCTCATCTGAACGTTCTTTCGATCGACATTTCTCACCCTCCGAGCTCTCTGGCAGATTCCGAAGAAGAGCTTGAACACCGTCTTTTCCGCAGTTTCCGAAGACGAACCGGTGGAGAATTTCAAGCTTTCAGTGGATTACACTCCTGTTTCTGCGAATTCCAATGTTTCAGTGGATTTCACTCCGAGTTCTGTGATTTCTGATGTGGATTTCACCGAGGTCAGTTTCATTTTCAATCCGATTTTTTGAAATTTCGCGCTGTATATTTCAAATCCGACTTTCGTTTGGACTTATCGGTTTTATTTCTCTTGATTGCTTATGATTTTTAGCTGAGATCGAATGGATTTGAATCGATCTTAATGTGACTGTTTGGTTACTGAGACAATGTTGGAATGAAATGAAATATCTAAAATTGCTGTTTGGTTTGAAATCGACTTTGTGACTGTGATTGTGACGATTTCAATTGTGTATTTTATCGTTTAGAGTCTGATGCTGATGCCGGATCCACCTTTTTCGGCTTCATCAGAGACATTGTTTCAGTGTGATCTCTCACTGTCTCCGGAGGCTAGTGTTAATAAGGATGGACCGGGCAATGTCTCTCTGAGTACTGGTAAATCGTGCGAATTTGATGGATCGAACTTTGGTTCTGTGGAGGCTGACATTGTAGCGAGATTTCTCAGGCAAGCACGGACTCAGGTCTTGAATTCTGAGCTGGATACTAAATCTAAGAAGATTCTGGATGCACTGGTTGAGATTGTCATAGAGGAGCTCCACACTTCGCCTGCAGAGAGGGACCGGGTTGCTGAACTTGTGTCGGCAAAAGCTTACATAACGATGGCGTGTTTCCTGTTCTGGATCATTGCATTGGCGGTATGGGTGTTCAGCTCTGGAGGCCGAAGCACTTTCCATGGACCTCTGCCTACTTGATCAACTTGAGCAGTAAGACCTTTGTCTTGTTCTTGGTATTATGCTCATGGTTGTGGAATTGCACAGTTCACAATGGATGGTTTTATCAATTATCTGAAAGATTGGTTTTGTGTACATATCTATGCTCGTGGTGTTTGCTTGTGACTAGTGAGAATTTGATTGAAACTGGCTTTAGTATGTGGATTATTTTTGTGTACACAATTATGCTCATGGCTTTAGTATGGATAGTTATTCACTCCAATCCGATCCTAGTCACCAAACGAGCCCCAAATGTAACTTCAATCAAATCTTTGTAATTTTGTGTTATGTGACTTTCACTTTCAGCATGCCAAACTCCATTAGTTTGTAACTTTGTCAATAGAGATCTTCTAGTAACTGGATTGGACCCTTTCTACTCATTTTAGAAGGGCATTTTTGAGCCTCTCTGTTGTGCAATTCTTGTTTCTTTCCTTTTGGCACACAGGAACAGGTAAAATGCCCACATTTTAATTTTGTGTACTGGGTTGGGCCCAGATTTTGGCCCATGTGTACACATGGTCCCCATTTGTGCAATTGTCAATGCATTGGAGAGGACAGTGATGCCCTAATACAAGTTCATTTAGGTTGATGCTTACATTGCATGGAAATAAAACTCCTGTTATGAGCATCTGATTTTCCTTGTCTGGAAAATCATTCTGAAAACTAGTTTCGACACCGTGCTTCTGACGTCACATGTCCCTTATTGATTTAAATATGTGAGTTTGATCAAGGATTTTAGTCAAATACTTCTTTCTGTCATCTAGAAGCAGTTATGTGTGCCCCAAAGATGAAATTCCACTATACTAAACATTTGAATAATCTCAGAAGATTATTGGTAATGCGAAAACCGGTTGCTTGAGCCTCCCGGTTTATCCACCAACTAGTTTGCTTAATTAATAATTTGTCATTCTGTTAGTACTGGGATTTCATGATGCTCATCAATTTGTCTGTTTAAATAGGCTGTTTATCCTTTTGTTTGCTTGCTCTCTACCTGTATCGACATATTTGGAAAAAAAGAGAGGTGGAGGATGTGTTGTTTGCTGATTTACTGTACCTGAATCTTAGCAAAACATTAAATACTGAAATTAGTCACACAAGAAAAAGATATATCCACTTGCTGAATTTGGAGTAGAACACATTGAATGGTTTAACGATCATTGACCAACCCGTCTGGGTCGGTGATGACATAAGCAATGCAATCACACCATCTTAGAAAATCTGTTAAACTAATCAAACTATGATAGTAAGTTGAATTTCAATTGGAATAAAGGGAAGAAAAATCTGTCAAACCTTAGGGGTCAAAGATTGTTCTAATTTACAGCACTAAACTGTCTTAGGGAATAGATTAATGGAGGGGAGGTGAATGTTTAGACGACAGCTATAAGTTGGTTTTTTCAAAAGCATATCTTCCTTCAAGTTATTAATAATTTTCCTTTTAGGCCTAAGTGCTTTTATTTTATGGGATAAGGACACTGGAGAACAGGTGGAGGACGGGATAAGCGTCTACTGTGAGATCAACTTGCTGGAGCGAACCAATCAAATCGCGCCGACGAGTAGTCTGGACCAAAAGGTGAATGTCTTGTTTTTAATCTTGAAAATAATTTTTAGATTAATGATACAGTGAAAGAAGAAGAGAGCTAGCTGTACTTAAAAGCAAAGATTCTGGTTGGGTATAATACACAAAGGGAGAAGAGTTTGCTGTTGTTTAAACTTTAAAGTAGTGATTGGCATGATTAGAGGGAAAAACACTAAGAGCCACGGATGAAGATTCTGTGTTGCAATCATTGGTTTGGTTATGTTCTTCAATCTTCCCCTAAACAAATTTATCAAAACGCCAAAAACCTAGTTTAATCACATAGTAGGGCATATCTAGGTGCCCAATTAACATGCCACAAGTTTGCTTTTGTTTATTAGAATTCTATTACATCCATACTTATAGGAGAACAACTTACATCTATCAGATTTCTACCTCCGTCTCTCTGCATCTCACGTCATCTGATCAGTCACATTATGAGATATGTAGAGATAAGAGGCAAAAAATCCTTTAACAAACACCCGTACTTCTCTCTCTGCATCTTACACCACCACATGATAAGCCACATCTTGAAAGATATAAAAGGATGGGATACAAGACCTATTAGAGGTAAGTTTTTGCCCACTAGGTTCATGTCGTATTTGCTATAGAGATTAGAGATGTAAAAAAGAAGAAGATATTTATAGGGCTAGTTCGGTAGGGGATACCGAACCAAAAATGGCATACCAAATCTCGAACCAAATATTTTCAGTATTTCAAGATTTCCCGAAACTAAACCTGCATCAAAATCCAAATCATCTAGATTGAAATTGAAATCATTTGAACCTACATTAAAACCCCAATTGAAATCAAAGAGAGTGACAGTGAATTGGTGGTCGAGAGAGAGAGAAAGAGACAAAGTGAAGAGATGGTTAGATGGACTTGCATCCTCCTCCTGACCTGAGCCCCCAATTTGAAACCCTAACCTTAATTCAAAACTTCACGCACACAGAGAATGGAGAGAATTAGTGGTGGGGGATGAAGTCGTGAGGTGTGGTGGTGGTCGAAGTGGAGAGAGTTCGTCGGAGTCAGATTGTGAGAGGGTAGGTGGCTACTGAGCTTTGAATTCGAGAAGGAGAGACATATAGACAAAGAGAGTTTGAGACTGAGTGAACTTAAGGCTTGAAGGTTTGAGTCATTCAAACGAAGCCAAACTCATGGTGAGAATTGACGATGCTATCACCAGAGCCGCTGTCATTCCTACAATGTGTTTTTCAGTGAAGGATGAGAATTAGAGAGAGAGAGAGAGAAAGAGAGAGAGAGAGAGAGAGAGATCAGGGAGGTTAGTCGAGAGGGAGAGGTGAGTCACTTGTGTGATGTGACTGGATTCGAAGACGGCAAATAAGGAGGCGGAGAGAGATCGAGAGAAATCAGTAAGGATGAGAGAGTAGGGTGAGGTGAGGTGAGGTCGAGAGAGAGAGTGATTGAGTGAGGGTTTTATTTGGATTCAACGGTTGAGATTAAATCTCAACCAAATCCAACGGCTATTATAATTCTAAATATATATTTAAAATTAAATAATATATATTTTTTATTTCGGTTCGGTTCCGGATTACTGAATGAATGAAAATGTGAGACCGTTTCCTGTACCAAAATTTCGGGATCAGTTCGGGATTTTTTTGGTTTAGTTTCAAGATTTTTTCAGTTCGGTTTGGAATTTTCAATATTTTTTTTTCCATCCCTAGATATTTATGATCATACTTCACAACACACCACACCACCACAACCATCGGTCAGGATTCATTTCCAGAACCATTGATTTGAACCCATATTCACCATCACCTCCCAACCTTCATCTTTAATTTCTTAGGTTTTTCTAGTGCTTTTATTGTCCCCTCCCACTTTATTGTGCCTCAATTGTTTGATTGTGTCTGTCACAGGGGAGGCAATCCCTCTGGTGCATCATAATACCGCCTTGTGGTGGGTTTTTTAATCCTTCAAAAACACATTTTTAAGTTTCCTAGTACAATGCTCCTCAAAAGTGTTGGGATAAAACACATGCTAACCATGATTTTTGGTGAGAATTAGGATTAGGTTCATGATTAGCAGAACTTTAAGACATAAACTAAGCCCAAAATCATAAGTGATGCGCGCATCCAGACTTTCTTTTATCCCGTTGTCAGGTTGTCAACACTATTTCTCGTTTTAAAAAAAAAATTAAATTTTGGTTTATGTTATGATTTTGGACCAAATAATTGTTGTTAGATTTGGTATCGGAATATGTCTCCTGTGGTGTTCCTCCGAGTTGTGCCCGATGAAATGAACCTTGGATGGGATAATTTTGGATATTTTATTATTTTTATTTTTGTTATTATTGTTAATTTTTAATTTAGTTTAGGATTTAATAAGATTAGAGCTTAGAGAACATAGCTTATATATAAACAAATGATACCAATAGATGATAAGTATAACATTACTCTTATACAATTAAGACAAGATAGCATATGACTACTAGTGTCCTTCATAAAATAGGATTGTCTAGTTGTGTTTTGGTGCTTGTGTTATGTCATTTATGAAATTTGCTATAGATGTGTTGAAAATTACCTCGAGTTACGATAAGTGCAAAAAAGTAAAATAGTTAAGTAAAGACTGAAAGTTTAGAGTAAACCCTTGTTCATTTAGCTATATTATTATTACCCTTATGCGAGGATTGTATTAGTATATAAGCCATAGATTAAACTGAACTAGTCCCTAGAGTTCTGGTTAAATTTCACATTACCAACGCCAAATGTTTTGCGTTTTGTTTTGTGATTCATCAAGTTCATCAACAAATAATTCAAAATCAATGATGAGATTTTGAGAGTGGTTTTGATTGAGATTTTGAGAGAATTGACCGTAAAAGGTAAAGTGAAACATTAACATCGATGACAGAACAAAGGGAGCTATTGTAACTCTGAGTTTTGACCATACTTTTTAGGAGCACACAATAGTTAACCTATAGGTTATGGAAGCCAAACCAAAAACAAAAGAGAGGGTTTTTCTTGTATTATAAGAAAATAAGGTGATTAGCGTGACCCCCTTTGATAATTAGGTCGCAAATTGCGATTATAGTATGAGAAATATCTTGTTTTAAAAGAGATAAAAACATTAATAAAAGGGAAGAAGCCCCGTTGGGAGGGGAAATGTGGAGGTGGAGCATAACCGTCCACACCTCAGAGGAGGAAAACTCCAAAAACCCCAACAAAAACAAAAACAAAAACAAAAGGCCTGGGAGGGATAGCAAAAGTGCCAGAGAAACCAAGCAACCCACATTGCACATGCATTTCTCCTTTTTTTTATTTTTATCATTTCTTTTCTGGATCACAACCGTTCAACCCCTCCTCCCCCCAATAATCCAATGCACGGAATGAGAACAAAATATTTTATGTGGGGCCCCCCGATCTGGTCAATTAGTGGAAGCCAACACCACCACCATCCATCCAATAAAATTGTTACAGTTAACTGGCCCCCCCAATCCAAACCCCTTAATCTTAATCTTCAATTTTTAATCCTTAATCTATCTTTTCATCATGTATTAGTTAATGTTTGTTGGGTTAAGCTTCCACTTGAATCAAATTATGTTATTTGGTGGCTTTCCTTTTCATTGGCAGGTGTTGCTTCTCAGTAAAATTTTCCTCAACTAAACTTTGCTTTTTTTCCTCTTAATTCTTTTTCTTTCTTTTTTTTTTTGTTACCACTTGACATTTTGACCTTTTAGTCAAAATGGTCTATAAAATTAACATAATT